AACTACCGACTGTATCCTGCGAAATGCACACCGGCGTGACTCGAATGCCAACGTCGAGTGAACCAGTGTAGATTTCCTCAGCCGACGTGCCTGGGTGGGCGTTCCCTAATTCCCGAGGCAAGTGCTTCCTGACGGCCTTCGCCTGCGCACCTCCGCGCGCTGGCCTCAGCTCTGGAGGGCGGGGGCACGCCCCCCGCAGCAAGTCTCCAAATTCCGCGGGCTGGAGATGCCCCCCTCCCCATGGCAACGAGGTGCAACTATTTTCCCACACCCTACTACCCTCGTCAAACTTAACCTCAACAGTTGCTGGCACGTCATTTCGATTTCGGCGCGCCCCTCAATGTCGACGCGCCGCCCCTTCAATGTCGGCGCGAGGGCAAAGATCGTCTGACCGAAGTTGACTCGAAAGTTTGACGTCGACCGACATTAGAGGGGCGGCGCATGCAAGTACCCCGCACTCATCGATACTCGGCCCCAGATCTTCCAACAAACAGTTCAACCACGTCGGACATGTTTGAGGTTAATTTTGACGAGGGTAGTAAGTGCGGCCCGCATTTTCTCTGGACCCCCCCGCGCAGGAACCCTTCAACCCCTCCTCCTGTCGTCATCACCATCATCACCATAATCATCATCACCATCATCATCGTCATCGTGATCATCATCATCAGCATCATCATCTCATCATCATAGCATTAGCGCCACCATAACAATTAGCAGCATCATCCTCAACATCAGAAACATCATCATCATCAGCATCATCAGCATCATCATCAACATCATCAAAATCAGCATCAGCATCATCATACCCCTGAGCGTCCACCTTGGGTTTCCTCGATCACTACCATCACCATCTCAGTTAGCACCATGATCACCATCAACAACACCATCATCTTCACCAACAGCATCATTATCACCATCGGCAAAAAAGCATGTTCATCCAGACTGATCACCGATGACGACAGTGATGATGGTTGCTAGCACACGTGGCTCAGCTGATCGTTCTCGTAGCCCTCCCTGCGTGTGGGTCTTGAAGCTCAGCTCGCGGTCTTAATAGCTCAGCTTGTGGCTCTCGTAGCTCTGCTTTTTGTCCTCAAAGTTCAGGTTGCTCCTCCTCTTCCTCGTCTGCCTTCTTCGTATTCCTGGCATTCCTCTGACAGAACCAGCTTCCCCTGATGACCCGTCCGCACATCTCAGGGACGCGGGACCAGCCGGAGACAGTCTCGCCCTTCCTCGCCTGGGACGTAGACGCCCAGGAGGCTGTCGTAGCCCTGGCGGTCGTACTGGTCCCCGTACTGAGCGGCCTCGCCGTACTGGTCGCCGTACAGGTCGCCGTGCTGGTCGCCGTACGGGTCGCCGTACTGGTCGTGGCTCTGCTGCTGCTGATGCTGCAAGGGGACCTCCGCGACGACGATACGCGCATTCTGCCCTCGTGCAGACCTCTCCCGTGCGTGCTCTCGAATCGAATTTGTTTATTACTTGTCTGGGCGTACTTTAACACAACACCTTTTGAGTCATTGTCGTGCTTGGTGTCGCACTTGTCGCATCCAATGTTGTACTTGCTGTCGCGATTTGCGTCGTAGCTGGCGTCCGTCATGGCGGACAGCATGAGGGATATCTCGCTCGCAGCAGCCTAGGCGCAGAATGCCCGTCAAGTTCATCTCATAGCCAATTCTCTTCGTTCTCATCCTGGCTGTTGACGTCCGCTGTTCTGCCATCGCACGGCGGCGGCCAACGGGCTAATGCTGGCCTCGCTGCCCCGCGGCCCCTAGTGCGGGTGTTGGATCCCGCATCTGGCCTTGAGCCAAGATGGCTAACGACTCTCTTCCTCCTCCTCCTCCTCCTCCTGCTCATCCTCCTCCTCCTCTTCCTCCTCCTCGACCTCCTCCTCCTCCTCCTCCTGCACCTCCTCCTCCTCCTCCTGCTCCTCCTCCTCCTCCTGCTCCTGCTCCTATGGGTCCTCGATTTTCCGCCATCCTCGACCCTTCATTTTCTTTGGATGCCTGAAACGGACACGGACAAAATGCCTACGAAGCCCAATTGCAAATGTTGTTCAAATCTGACAGCGGCCGCTGTTAGGCAGGCGAGCTTGTGTATCAAATGGACGACAGCCGCGGCGACGCCCCGCGAATCCTGCTCAGAATGAATAAGAAGTGATCCCTCCAATCCGCGATCCCCGATCCCCGATCCTGGGCCCTCAGCCCCCGGCCCCGCCCCGCCAGCGCGAGGAGCGGGGGCGCGCGCGAGGCGCCTGCTGCCTCAGCCGCCCGTTCTCCTGCGCAGCCGCGGGCGCCCGCGGCGAGGGGATCGAAACCAGCGACGCCGGCGCTCCCGCGCTCCACGCTGCGCGCTCTCCTCCTCCTCATCCTCCTCCTCCTCCTCCTCTTCCTCGTCCTCCACCTCCTATTCCTCCTCCTCCTCCTCCTCCTCCTCCTCCTCGTCCTCCACCTCCTCCTCCTCCTCCTCCTCCTCCTCCACCTCCCTCCCTCCCTCCCTCCCACCCTCCCTCCCTCCCTCCCCTCCCTCTTTTCTCTTCCTCATCAACCCTCCTCCTGCTCCCTCCCTCCTCCTCCTCCTCCTCCTCCTCCTCCTCCTCCCTCCTCACTCCTCCTCCTCCCCCTCCTCGCCCCTCCTCCTCCTCCTTGTCCTCCTCGCCCTCCTCGTCCTCGTCCTCGTCCTCGTCCTCGTCCTCGTCCTTGTCCTCCTCTTCCTCCTCCCTCTCCTCCTCCTCATCCTCCTCCTCCTCCTCCTCCTCTTCCTCCTCCTTTTCCTCCTCCCCCTTGGCTCGGGCAGGTGGCAGCAGGATATGCACGGTGAGGGCATTGGATGAGGAACCCTTGGACAAGGAATCATCCAGGGTCTGGAGGCTAGCGGAACATCAGTTCAGGCTTGGCCATGGATTTCACCGCCGCCCTCATCAGTCACGGATCCCTCCAGGGTCTGAAGCCTCCTGGGCACATTCCTTAACGAACGCCCCCACCGTACTGGATGTGGCCATCCATCCCCCTTCCCAAGGGCAGTTGCCGCTGAGGGGAGTGATCAAACTGACGCTTTGCACTTGAAGACACAGACCGCGAGGGACAAGAGGACCGCGCGGAGGCCGGGTGGCTAAGTTCCCCCCTCCATCCTCCTCGTCCTCCTAGCCTGCTCCTCCTCAACGCCGAATCCTCGTCGAGGTACACCACTCGGGGATTCGGTACCGACGCTCAGCAGCGGCTGCGGCAAGCAGCGCATGGGTTGGCAACAGTACCAGTCTTGCCCCTGCTGGAGACACCATGGTTTGAACACAGTCTGCTGCCGTGTCTGACTCCGTGGATGTAACCATGCAGAGCAACGATTGAAGCTATAACAGATTGAACCTCTCCTCCTTTTAGCCAATCCTCCTCTTCCTCCTCAACGGACAACGCCAACTGTGTAACAGACCAGCTCGATGTACACCGTCGCTCGTGCCGGCACGCACGGAACCGTTCATCGATCTGGCCTGGTTCTCTGCTGGGTGTCGTCCAACCTCCACGCCTTTGGACGCCCGAAATGAGTACGGAACGCATGGGTACAATGCACAAAAACAAATTTTGTCCCGGATCAACAGCAGCTGCTGTTGGGCAGGCGACCTTCTGTCTCAAACGGACACCGCTCGCGGCGACACCGACAACGAGTCCTGTTCAAAGTGGAAAGGAACTGCTGTCGGTCGTTGTGCCCACTCCTTCCGTACCCAGTTCGATCGTCCCGATCCTCCTCCTACCTGCTTCCCCTCCCGCTGCTCGTCCGCCTTTTCCACTCTGCCGAGATTTGCCCATGGCGGTCGGGCAGCGAGGAGGGAGGCTTCTGGACTCGTTCCCCCCAATATCCGCTTGACGAATGACTGGCCATTGGTCCACTCTTGCGGCCTCCATACCCTCCGGAGGCCTCCAGGTAGACCTCTGGGGGCGTTCGGGGACTTGCAGTGGTCAGCATTTGGGTCTGCACTAAAACTGCCCTCCCTGGCCGCGCTCTCCTCCTCTTTTCCCGCACCCTCTCCCTCCCTCCGCGCTCGCCCTTCGTATCGCCGCCTCCTCCGTCCCGCTGGCCGCCTACTCTCTCCTCCCTCCTCGCTCCCTGCCTGCTCTATTCTTCCTCATATTGACGGACGAACAACACACAACCATACCCATAGGGGGGTCGTTGGGAGGAGGACTGGCTATGGGTATGGGTGCGGGTTGTCGGACCCTGGGGAACGCTCCCGTTCGAACGGGGACCCCCATCCGACAACACGCGCCCATAGCCCTCTCCGACCCCCCTTCTGGGTATGGGTGTGTGCTGTTGGTTCGTCACAGATCTCCTCGTCCTCCCGCCTCCTCCTCGCCCGGGGCTCTCGCACCGGTCACCACACCGCAGCACGACCTCCCCACGAGCCACGTGGGGGTGGAGGCCCTCGAAAAGTGCGGCCCTCGCCTCGGCGGCAGCGGCGTGGAGCTGCGGCCACTGCGCGGCAGCGGCCCGGGTGCTTCGGACGAGATCCTCGCTGCCGCCCGGAGCCCCTCTTCCGTCTCTAACTAACCAGCCTCGAACTGATCCCTGTCCCTGAGATTGGCACGCCAAGGGGCGATGACAATCTTAGGGATGCACCCTCAGAAACTGAGGGAACCCCTGAGATCGCCATCGTGACGAGGCGATGCCCAACATAGGGATAGGGATAGGTTCCAGGCCTGATAAGTCTCAGACTCCCTCGCCACCGCGCGCGACCACGAGGCCAACTCTCTCACGAGTCGGGAACCGACCTCTCTATACACCGACGCTTCTTCCGACCCTGCGCCGGCATTCGCACAGGCACGCGGATCCTGGTGTGTACGGGATCCTGGTGTACACACTTTCCGTTGCTTCCCTTGGGAAACGGGGGAGAAGCAACCACACCACCCCGACGTCGTCCCCGACCCTCAAAAGTCGTGGCATTGAAAAAAGAAACCCGCAACTGGTAATCTGGCCATCGCTCGGACGTCCACTCCCTGTGTTTTTTTCGGTTTCGTGCGTGGATGTTTCGCCACATGATCAAGAATGCTCCTCGATGGTCCTCGCCGAAAGAAAAATGCACACGTCCGAGCGATGCCAAGTAATGTGTATGTTCCAGCTTCCGAATGAGGACGTCGGCCTCCGCTCTTCTGCAAAGTCCCACTTGCCAGCTGACTGTGGTTTGAGGAATCGCAGTGACCGGCGCAGTTCCGCTGGTGACTCGCTCCTTCTGCTAGTCCTGCTCCCAATCCACCTCATCCACCTTCGATGTCTACGACCACACCCATTTACTCAATGAAGGAACAATTCCTGAGGAGAACGGGTCCTGGACCGCAGGGATGTCCCCGCGAATGGCTTTCCATCCCAAGTCGATTGTTCACAGTCCCGGGCTCTGTGCCCCCAGAGGGGGCGAAAACAGCGAATGGCATCAGGTCCCTTTTGCATCGCTTTGCCTCGGGATCTCCTTTCTTTATGGCGACTCTTTGCGCACTCCACCTCAACCTCTGCCCCCCCCTCCTCCTTACCCAAGCATGCCCAAACTGGTGTTACCATTACTTGGGGTGGTTCGCCACCTCCTCCTTCTGAGGAGGGCCCCCCTCCACAAAACCACCCGAGACGTGAACTTCTAAAAATTAGCCTGGCGAAGAACCCAACCATATGCAGTTGTCAGTACTGCAGCTGCGGGTTTCATCTTCAGTGGAACTCCCCATAGGACCCGGAACGTGTGAGGGGTGTGCCGAGATGGGTGCCACTGAGGCATTCGGTGAAACTGCAAATGGGGACATGAAACACGCGCGGGGCGTACCGACATGGGTGGCGGAAACGCATGTGAGGGCCGCCACTGGGGCCTCCAGTGGAGCTCCCTATGGGTCCCCGACACATGATGCTGCTGCGGGGGGGGGGGGGCGGGATGGGGGCGGAGCGCATGTAAGCGCGCGCTACTGGGGCCTTCGGTGGAGCTCCCTATGGGGCCACGAAGCGCGTGAGGGTGTACTGGGAATGTGTGGCGGGGACGCATGTGAGCGCCGCCACTGGGGCCTTCGGTGGAGCTCCCATGGGGCCACGAAACGTGTGAGGGGTGTGCCGAATTGGGTGCGGGTGTGACGCATGCGGGCGGTGCCACTGGGGCCTTCGGTGGAGCTCCCTTGGGGCCACGAAACCTGTTGTTGTAGGGCGTGCCGGGATGGGTGGCGGGGACGCATGTGAGCGCGCCGCTGGGGCCTTCGGTGGAGCTCCCTATGGGGCCACGAAGCGTGTGAGGGGTGTGCCGAATTGGGTGGGTGTGGGTGACGCATGTGAGCGCCGCCACTGGGGCCTCGGCGGATGATGGGGCCACGAAACCTGTCAGGGATGTGCCGAAATGGTGTGCGGGACGCATGCGGGCGCCGCCACTGGGGCCTTCGGTGGAGCTCCCTATGGGGCCACGAAACGTGTGAGGGGTGTGCCGAATGGGTGTGCGGGACGCATGCGGGTGGCAGCACTGGGGCCTTCGGTGGAGCTCCCTATGGGGCCACGAAACGTGTGAGGGGTGTGCCGAATTGGGTGTGCGGGACGCATGCGGGCGGCAGCACTGGGGCCTTCGGTGGAGCTCCCTATGGGGCCACGAAACGTGTGAGGGGTGTGCCGAAATGGGTGTGCGGGACGCATGCGGGCGGCAGCGCTGGGGCCTTCGGTGGAGCTCCCTATGGGGCCACGAAACGTGTGAGGGGTGTGCCGAATTGGGTGTGCGGGACGCATGCGGGCGGCAGCTTGGGGCCTTCGGTGGAGCTCCCTATGCGACGAAACGTGTGAGGGGTCTGCCGAAATGGGTGTGCGGGACGCATGCGGGCGGCAGCACTGGGGCCTTCGGGAGCTCCCTGTGGGGCCACGAAACGTGTGAGGGGTGTGCCGAAATGGGTGTGCGGGACGCATGCGGGCGGCAGCACTGGGGCCTTCGGTGGAGCTCCCTATGGGGCCACGAAACGTGTGAGGGGTGTGCCGAAATGGGTGTGCGGGACGCATGCGGGCGGCAGCACTGGGGCCTTCGGTGGAGCTCCCTATGGGGCCACGAAACGTGTGAGGGGTGTGCCGAAGTGGGTGTGCGGGACGCATGCGGGCGGCAGCACTGGGGCCTTCGGTGGAGCTCCCTATGGGGCCACGAAACGTGTGAGGGGTGTGCCGAATTGGGTGTGCGGGACGCATGCGGGCGGCAGCACTGGGGCCTTCGGTGGGTGTGCGGACGCATGCGGGCGGCAGCACTGGGGCCTTCGGTGGGGCTCCCTATGTGGCGACGAAACGTGTGAGGGGTCTGCCGAAATGGGTTGTGCGGGACGCATGCGGGCGGCAGCACTGGGGCCTTTCGTGGAGCTCCCTATGGGGCCACGAAGCGTGTGAGGGGTGTGCCGACTTGGGCATGCGGGACGCATGCGGGCGGCAGCACTGGAGCCTTCGGTGGAGCTCCCTACGGGGCCACGAAACGTGTGAGGGGTGTGCCGAATTGGGCGTGCGGGGCGCATGCGGGCGGCAGCGCTGGGGCCTTCGGTGGAGCTCCCTTATGGGGCCACGAAACGTGTGAGGGGTGTGCCGAAGTGGGTGTGCGGGACGCATGCGGGCGGCAGCACTGGGGCCTTCGATGGAGCTCCCTATGGGGCCACGAAACGTGTGAGAGGTGTGCCGAATTGGGTGTGCGGGACGCATGCGGGCGGCAGCACTGGGGCCTTCGGCGGAGCTCCCTATGGGCCCACGAAACGTGTGAGGGGTGTGCCGAAATGGAGGAGGGAGGAGGGAGGGGGCAGCGGGAAGGAAGGAAGGAACGCGGGGTGACGTCTCTTCAAAACGAAGACCCAACACCACAGGATGGTTGGGAAAGATCGCCCCCGTGTATCCGATCCTCAGTCCCCCCGATCGTCGATTCCCAAGCGGAGGCAACTTCCCCAAGTCCCCTTTTGATGACGGACGCTCCGCGATGCCTGATTCACCAATTTGGACGCCCGAGATGGGCTCGGGAAAAAGTGGGCACGATGCCCAACGACAAATGTGGTCAGGCGGCCACTGTTGGGCAGGCGGCCTTCTTTCTAAAATGGACAATGTCTGCGGAGGTGCGGACAGCGAGCCTAAAATGAACAGGAGCCTCTGTTGGGCATCGTGCCCTCTCCTTCAGCAATTACCCATGCCTGTCGTGCCGAACCAAAGACGTCCATGACGACACCGCGACCGGAGGCCGACCGAGCCGACAACGAAACCGACACCGACCGAAACCGACAGACGCCGACGACGCAGCAACGGCGCGGCAAACGACCGGACCGAACCGACCGAACGCGACGCGGTCCAATCGACCGAGCAGCGGACAACGCATTGCGCACGCAACGTCGGGGTGACGTAAAGGTGGGGTGGGGGCAGCGGTGGGGTTGGGAGGAGACTTGTTCTAAACGGCGCCTGGAAGACAGAAATGTGAACATCCAGCTGAGTCCTTTCCGTGCTCTCTATGTGTTAGCCAGCGTGGATACCAATGCGATCCATGTGGGACGATCTATGTGGGGCAATACATGTGGACCCACCGATGTGCTTCTAGCATTCCATGTCGGGCAATCTATGTGGTGCAATCTGTGTGGGGAATAGCCGCCAGACCTCAGACACGGCCTGGTTCCTTAGAACAGAAATTCGAAGCCCTGAATGCAAGCACTGCTTGGGGAATTAAGACTACTCTCCTGATTGGATATTCTTTTGGACCTTTCCCCTCATCTCCCGTTTCCTGGAGTGATGACCCACAGCTCTCGGGCCCCTGACAAGATGATAGCATCCCCGAGTCATGTTTGAGTCTCAAAGAAAGTCCGTACGGACCTCCGCGATGCTGTTTCACAGTATTTTCCAGCCAGTTTGCGGTGACCCCCGTCCATAGACCCCGACGTCTTGATCTTTTTCATCACGTCAACCCCCAGAGGTCTCGACCCTTCCCCCGGGACCGCCTTTTCCTCCTGAGTCGTTTCTGTTGACGGTCCTGAGGGCCGGTAAGGGCCTCCAGATGCCGAACACTTGGAAGACAGAAGCTTCCTTTATGGGGTAGGAGTAGATGGGGTCGGAGGATCGCGCCGCATCGACGATACACGGGCGATGCATCGGCGACGTGGGCGATGCACCGGCGACGTCGACGTGAAGCAAATCGGGCTGCACATCGAGCCGCATCGCCGATGAGTCGGCGATGCGGCACGACCCTCCGACCACATCTGCTCGGACCCCATCTGGGAGGCCTGGAGGTAAGGTTAGGTTGGACATGTCCCCCTACAGGCGGATTTTGGGCGAACAGTTAAAAATAGTCAAATAATGCACCAAGATGGTCAAACATATTGAAACAATCGTTCCCGTATTCTTCATTTACTAGTCTTGAATATTCGCCAAGTATATGGACGTGCCCGACTGAAAGGCTAGGGCATCCAGAAGCCGAGAGCTCGGAAGAACCTTCCGCCGACCACCGCCCGAAGCACCGCCCGCTCCACACTCGCCAGGGGCGCTTCGTCTTTCTAGGGTTGCGGATGCCATGACAATGGACACTCTAACAGTTCTATCATTTGAATAAAGATGTCTTAAATGTGTAAAACATGTTCCAAACATGGTTTTTTACACGTTTGAAGCATGTTTGAAACATCTTTTAGACATCTGGAGATTATTTGGCAACATGCTTCCTCTCCATTAATCGACTTCCACAACTCTAAGGGAGGCGGGAGCTGGCGAGGGAGAGGCGAGAGAGAGCGAAGGGCCGCCCCGCCCGCTCCCGGGGGGGCCGGATCGACGCACAACTCGAAAGTTCCGAAACATCGGACAACGCTCCTCCTCCTCGTCCTCGTCCTCCTCCTCCTCCTCCTCCTCCTCCTCCTCCTCCTCCTTTCTCCTCCTTTCTCCTCCTCCTCCTCCTCCTCCTCCTCCTCCTCCTTTCTCCTCCTCCTCCTCCTTTCTCCTCCTCCTCCTCCTCCTCTTCCTCCTCCTTCTCCTCCTCCTCCTCCTCCTCTGGGCCCGAAGTTTGGCGAGGGCGAGGGCCTCAGTCGCCCGCTTCGCCTCCTCCGCCTGCCTGCCCGCGGCCTGCGCGAGCGCGTCGACCTCCCGGGAGGGCCGCGCGGGGCTGACGGAAACGGGGCGCCCCCAGGTGGCGAAAGCGTTGGGCCTCCTCCTCCTCCTTTCTCCGCCGTCTCCTCCTCCTCCTCCTCCTCCTCCTCCTCCTCCTCCTCCTCCTGCTCCTGCTCCTGCTCCTGCTCCTGCTCCTGCTCCTGCTCCTCCTCCTGCTCCTTCTCCTCCTCCTCCTCCTGCTGCTCCAACCCATGCTCCTGCTCCTGCTCCTCCTTGTTTTCCTCGTCCTCTTCCTCCTCCTCCTCCTACTCCTCCTACTCCTCCTGCTACTCCTCCTCCGCTCCTCCCCCTGCTGCTCCAAATCCTGCTCCTGCTCCTGCTCCTGCTTTTGCTCCCCCTCCTCCTCCTTCTCCTCCTCCTCACCCTCCTTCTCCTCCTCCTCCTCCTCCTCCTCCTCCTCCACCTCCTCCACCTCCTCCTCCTCCTCGCCCGCCGAGGTCGTCGTGGGCCGAGGTGTGCGAGAAGGGCCCCCGAACGGTGTGGTGACCACACCGGAGACGATCCTGGCTCTTTCGCTTTTCGGGCCTGGGGGCCCTCGCAGATCGACCCGCCTCGAAAAATGGCCCAGCAAGATGGTGTACTCGCGATTTTTTGTGATGTTGCAATTTTCTGCAACGTCGGCTCTCATGGAGGGAGGAGAAGAGCGCCAGGAGACTGAGACCTCCGGGGGCAACCCGGGAAGGGGGAGGGGAAATACGCCATGGGCCCCCGCACGGCGCGGTGACCACACCCCGGGCAGCGAGTGTGGGAGCCGGGGCCGCCGCACGGCTTTGGGACTCGGGTTGTTCTGCGATGGTGTCTCGGGCGACTGGGTGCGGTGACGGATCGCGCGGTGAGGTCTCCTGGGAAAGCGAGGTCACCGCACGGTCCTCGCCATCGCTCGGACCTCCATTCCCTGTGCATGTTTCGGTTTCGCGCGGTTCATTGTTCTCGCAAGATGGCCCAACAGGGTCCTCAATGGTCCTTGCCGAACAACAAGCACACGCGCCCGAGCGATGCCAAGGGTCCATCACCACACCATTTTGGGACCCCCGAGTGTGGCCGCGACGTCGGCTGATCACTTCACCGGCTCTGGCTGGGCCAGTCCTGGGCCTAGGACTGGCGCCTTCCTGGCCAAGCCATGAGGGCGCGAGCACCGATCCCCAGACCCCCGACGTCGTGACTTTTTCACAACGTCGACCCCCTAAGGTCTCGTCCCCTGCCCCAGGACCGGTTTTTCGCCCCGAGTCGCTTTGTTGACGGCCCCGAGGCCCGGCAAGGGCCCCCAGAGGCCGAAGACAGCGACAAACCTCCCGCGGCGCGGTGGTTTCATCACAGCGCGAGGGGTTCTCTGGGTCCTGGGCCGAGGGGGGGCCTGGCCCGGATCGACGAGGGGACCACTCGAAACGTCCCCTGGAAAGGGGAAGCCGCGGCGGTGACTCGGAGTACGGAGGAGGGCTCCGGGAGGGAGGCGCTGGGTGGGAGCGGCCACGGGACGGGCGGGAGGGGCGAGGAAAGTCCACCGGGATGCGCGAACGCATGAAAATACGTTAGACCCTCTCGTTGGGCGACGAGGGCGAGGGGGGGGTCGGGCGGCACCGGCGCATAAATCGCCTGTGTGCACCCCAGCACCCCCTGTGTACACGACAATGCCCGATGCCTGCGTGCAACATGGCGCCACCTGTGTGCACGCCAGGAGTGCCTCCGTACACCACAACAGCCGCGCGCACTGCAGCACCACGTCGCCTTTGCACACCACAATGCCTGTGTATGCTGCAGCAGCTGTGTGCGCAACAGCGCCCGTGTACACCGCATTGCCTGCGTGCACCAGAACGCCAGCACCGTGGAACTGGATCACCTCAGGATTCCACATACAACAAGTCTGTAATATAAGCGTACGCTCCTGGACTCTACAGACAACCATTGCTTGCAATAGGATTCTTAAAGGAAGCCGTATGGAAAACGGAGCGCCTCTGGATTCCACAGAACACAAATTTGTTAGATGAAATATAAAACGGAATCGCTATGAAAGGAGGAATGCCTCTGGATTCCACAAAAAACGCTTGTTTGATTAAGGAATCCCGATGGAAAGTGTGGCGCTTCTGAATTCCACAGAAAGCCAATGTTTTACAAACATGTTTTACAAGAGTCCCTATTGAAAGTGGAGCACCTGAGGGTTCTACACGCGTGCACCGCAACGCCTGCGTGCACCACAACGCCTGTTTAGACCACAGCAGCCGCGGACAACACAGCGTCGACGTACACCAGAGCCTGCGTGCACCACAACGTTTGCGCACACCACAGCGCATGTGTACACCGCAGCAGCCGCGTGCAACACAGCGCCGGCGTGCACCGCGTTGCCTGCGTGAACCACAGCGCCCGCGCACACCGCAGCGCCTGCGGGATAAGGCGCGGGGCAGCCCAGTCTCTATCTTCTCCATGGCGCTGGGTCTACAATCGCTACGTGCGGTTAGGACAGGTGGTAAGGACGCCAAGGCCTTGGAAACCGAATTTGGGACTTGTTGGCAAAAGCTGTCCAATGAAAACGGCAAAAGGACAGGCCGCAGAGGCAAGGGGACAAGGGTACCCTGGAGAAGGCACGCGTCCTTATTAGGCGCGTCGACTGCATCGCACTGCAACCGAGCACTGGCCAGAAGGCCGAGTGGTCGAACCAGCCTGCGGTAGCTGAGCCATCGACGACGACGACGACGACGACTACGATGACGACGACGATGGTCTGGCTCTGTTTTGCTTTTTCCGTCCCTCGTCCACATCTAAATATATATATATATATATATATATATATATATATCCCACAGCAGCTCGCATCCGATCGCTTTGTGATCCTCACGGAGGTAGGGCCTCACGCAGCGAGCGGCCCAGGCGCGCAGCCGGCGCTCCGCTTGGACCACGCCATGCCTGTGAGCACAGCGCCGTAACTGCGGGGGGCCCGCTCCCAGCATGTATCGGGCTGGGCGAAACGGGGGGATATAGCAAAGGGGGGGTTGAGAATCAGCTCACGTAGCTGATTTTCCCGGCGCCTCCCGGCGCCGGAGGCGACCATGCATCGAGGAATGGGCCCCTCGGCGGGGGGCCAAGCCCCCCACCCACTCGGAACGATCGTTAGGGTTACCGAGGGGCGGGGGAGGGTCGGCGGGGTAGCGAGCGTCCCGCCGGGGAGGAGACAGGAGCCCGCCGGGACCCCCCAGAGGCCTCCAGGGACCTGCGGACAGGAGGGGGGGGGGAGGGGAGACTGCAGGACACGGGAGGAAGGAGCAGTGAGAGGGGAGGGGGGGGGGCAGGGACGTCGAGCTGCCGGCAACGAATGCTCCAGTGCATGCACACCTGTCGCTGCGACAGCAGCCTGGCGATAGATCATGCACGTCATCACTCCAACAGCGGAAGTGCAGGAGGAAATCTGGCGATTGACGATACGGCTCCACCAGGTGATGACGGTGGCGAGAGGCCTCCCGAATGGGGCCCGAGCAGGTGGGGTCGGAGGATCGCGCCGAACCGCCACGTCGGCGATTCCCCGGCGACGTTGGCGCGGAGAAGACTGAACTCCGCATCGAGACGCCTTGCCGATGCATCGGCGATGCCGCGCTTCACTCCTGCCCCCTCCGCTCCGACTCCATCTCTTGGGGGGCGGAAAGATACGGATACGTCTTGTCCCCGGACCTCTCTTGGGGTGCGTTCTGACCAGAATTTCGAGGCGAATCCAGCGGTGACAACGAGGATTCCCCAGGAGGACCAGGAAAGGCCGAAAACGAAGGGGGACAACACGTATCCGTATCTTTTTCTCCCCCGAATCTGTTCCGACTCGGTGCAGGGATTGGACGGGGACGGGAGCACCGAGGAACGGGAATGGGGCGCCCGACGCTCCCCGGAACGCAGGCACCTGGACGCGGCCGCCGAAAAACGTGCCCTCGAACTGGCAGGCGGCATAATTGAACGCTCTCGGAGATTGCCCAACTTGTGCTGCTGAGTAACGGCGAGCAGGAGGAAAGAGAACGGACATCCTGCGTCCTCCTCTTGTCATTTCTCTCTCCCCTCCTCCCCTCCCCTCTCCTCTTCTCTCTTCGGCTATACTTCGGCTATACGCAAGAGTGACCCTGGGTAAGAGTGACCTTTGGTGCGCGACTTTTTGGGGGCCGCGGGGGGACCAAACCTGGGCGCGCAAGCAGCTGCTGCTGCTTCGTTTTCAGCCATCTGGGGACCCACCTGTGCCCGCACCAGAGGTCACTCCGGCGAAACGCCACTCTTACGTCTATAGTCGATCTCTTCTCATATCACGCACGTGCCCCTCCGGTCCGCGCCGTGCCTCGAGGCACGAGCTGGGGCGTCCTCGGGTCCCTCCCCCGTGCGCTCTGCACCTGCTCGTTCGGGGGGGCCGCAACCCGGAGTTCCGGGCGCCCCGGGCCTGCCCGCGCGTCGTCGCGCGACGCCTCCGGAGGCCCGAGGGGCCCAAGGCGCTCCAAAGAGCGCCCCGAGTCGCCCGGAGCCCGCCCCGAAGCGCCCAGGGTGGCCTCAGGACGGCACTCGAGGCCCCACACACGCCCCAAGAGGGCTCCCCAAGGCCGCCCAAGACGGCCCAACAAGGCCCAACCCTGGTATTTCCCTGAGGTGATCGAAAAATGTAGCGGTCTCGCCCTGTCAGGCTCCCGACGCCCCAAGACGGCCCAAGAGGACCCCAAGATGGTCCCAAGACAGCGCAAGAGACACCCGACAGGGCCCCAAGGCGCCCAACACAGTCCCAAGAAGGCTCACGAGGCCCTAACGACGGCCCAAGAGGGCTCCAAGAGGGGGAACACGAACTTGCATGCCGAGCCCTCCGCAAGATGATCCCGGAGACTACTGGCAGGCTGCAAGAGGCCCCAAGGAGGCCTCCATGAGGCCGAAAGAGGCCCCAAGACACCCCAAAAAATTGTTCCGAGAGAGGTCTCTCAAAAAATCTGACATGCATCCAAGAGGCCTCTGACCTCGAACCCGGGCGAGGTGGCGGGGTGGGCCGAGTGCCATTAGATCCGCCGCCCCTGGTTGGATTTCCACAGGGGAGCTGGGCGTGCTAGATCCTATACTCGGCTTGGTTGTTTTATCTTTTTTCGGGGATGGACAGACCCCCCTTTAGTACAACGTGGTTTAGTGAAAACGACCTGAGGCCCAAACTTGGCGGGCGAAAAGCCTGGAAAATAACGGCCGCGGCGCCCTCTCGAGAACCGACAACGGACAATTCACTAATCGACGTGTCACTGTTGGGGGTTCTGTCCAGCCCCGATTTTTCCAAAAGACCCCCCCCTGGGGCTTCGGCCCAGCGCGCCGGCCACCCGAAACATGTACATGTCAATGCCTTTCTCGCCCAAGATGGCCCAATACGAATTCCAAGATGCCTCCAAGACGGCCGAGACGGCCCAAGATAGCCTCCAAGACGCCTCCAAGACTACCAAGACGGCTCCAAGAGGGCCCAAGACGGACCCCAGAGGCACCCGAGATGGCCGCAGATGGTATCAAGACGGCTCAAGAGGCCTCCAAGGGGTCCTCCAGGAGGGCCCGAAGAGGCCAACATCGTTGATGTTACTTGGGTGTTCGAAAGATTTTGCCCCTTGACCCTTTTCGGCCCTCCGACGGCCTTCCGACGGCCCAAGACGGCCCCAAGATCGCCGCAGGATGGCCCCAAAGGCCTCCAGGAGGGCCCCCGTGCCAGCCCAAGATGCCTCCAAGACGGCCCCAGGAGGGCCCAAAAACGGCCCAAGAGGCCTCCAAGAAGTCCATGGTGGCCTCCGAGACGGCCCCGAGGCGCCCCAAGAGTGCCCCAAGTCGGTCCAGAGAGGCCCCCAAGACGGTTCCTGATGGCGTCAGACGGGCCAGGAACGCCCCAAGACTGCCAAAGAGGGCCCCAAGAAGCCCCCAAAGGCCCCGAAGAGACCCAAGGAGGCTTCCAAGAGGTCTCCGGGAACCCACAAGAAACTGCCAGAAGGCACCAAGAGTCCTCCTCCTCCTCCTCTTCAGCTTCCTTCGCCTCCTCTTCCTCCTCCTCCTCCTCCTCCTCCCCTTCCTCACCTTCCTCCTCCCCATCCTCCTCATCCTTCTCTCTACTTGTCCTCCCTCTCCTCCGTTTCTTCTTCCCCCGAGTGTTCCCCGAAAGGCTTCCACAACGACTCGGGAACACATGGTCGAATAACTTGGCAGAGCTCTGGCCACAACGTTCGGCCACATGGGCGATTCCAAACGGCAGGCGGCCTAGAGGCCAACAAGAAGCTCCCAGAAGGCCCCAAGAGTCCTCCTCCTCCTCCTCCTCCTCAGCCTCCTCCGCCTCCTCTCTACTTGTCCTCCCTCTCCTCCGCTTCTTCTTTCTCCCCGCGCGTTCCCCAGACGATTTCAACAACGGCTGGGGGAGCACATGGGCGATTCAAAAAGGCAGGGGGCGGAGGTGATTCGCCGTAGGAGTCTTCGATACTCAGACTGGGCCATCTAGCTGTCGGATCCTCCTCCCCGTCCTCCTCGTCCCTCTCCTCCTCCTCCTCCTCCTCCTTCTCCTCCTCCTCCTCCTTCTCCTGTCTCTGCCTCTCTCAAGTGCTCCCCCAAAGGGTTGCACAACGGCCAAGAGAGCCCAGAATCGAATCGATAAGCTGGATCGGCGATCGAAATGAATCGGATCGGCGGAAATCGGCAGCCAAGTCGGGCAAAGTCGGATCGGCGGACATCGGCAGGCTAGTATGCCTCCACTGGGAAATCTGAACCCAAATCGGAATCCAAAATCGAATCGAATCGGAATCGGAAGCCATCGAAGTCGAATCGAATTGAATCGGAGGAATCGAAAAGAGCTCTGAACGGCTGGGATATTACATAGTCCATGAGCTTGGCCAGACGTCGGCCCAACGTTTGGCCGCATGGGTTTTTCCATGAGGCAAGGGGTGGCGACGATTCGCCGTAGAAACCTTCGATACTCTTACTGGGCCATCTAGCCGGCAGACAGCCATCCATCCGGGTTCAGTCCTAGCAACAAGGAGTAGCACATGCAAAAACTACGTCTTCCTATTCACAGTCACTTCTTGTCGTCGTCGATGCAGAAAATGCATGGCAGGAAAGGGGGTCGGGCGCACATCCCGCGCGACACGGCGAAATGCCCCGCTCTCGCCTCGGCGACGCGCCCACTTTCAGTGAGCTCGGCGCACGCTTCGCTCGCCAATGCGTCGACGGCGGGTGGGCGCGCAAACATTACCAGCCTGGAACCTGTCCCTATCCCTATGTTGGGCATCGCCTCGTCACGATGGCGATCTTAGGGATTCCCTCGGTTTCTGAGGGTGCATCCCTAAGAGTGTCAGCGCTTTTTGGCGTGTCAATCTCAGGGTAAAAACAGGCGAAGTACTCGCCCTCGCCGCGGCGCGGCACAGGTTTTTCGGCCGAACGCGGCGCTCCCGCCCTGGCGCGGCGCACGTGTGCT